GCTTATAAAACAAATTTGTGCTTCTCCTACCAGGATCTTGCAGCAGTACCCAGAAAAACACAAAATCCTTATAGCTTTCCCCCCCACACTTTTTAATGGACAGGATGGCTCCAGCTCTTCTCTATCAGTCACATCCACTCTCTCTGGTTTACAGGGTGGACTCATTTGTCCCAGCCAGAGGCTGTTAGCTATGAATGGAGAGTTTGTTAATTAAAAAGTATGCTGTGGTTTTAGGAATGAGTGTTTTTTTTTTTTGTGACTGCCAGAGCAGTCTTTTATGCTGCACTCATCCATGAGCAGCAGCTCTGAGGTGGGACTGGCTACTGCAGACTCCGTGTGTCCTGTGAAGCTGCATCTACCCTGGCCTCAGGGCAAAGCTGTCCTCCCTTCAGCCCCAACACTTCCAGGTGTTCACACTGCAAACATCGTGCGCAGTGCACGTGTAGTAGAAGTGTGACTCACACACATGGGGCTTGAGGAAGATATAGGATTGATATTTCGACGGTGTCCTTCCCCCCGAAAGGAAAACAGGAGAGATTCACAGCTTAATCTTTGTAGTTGTATTTAAGTTATTTTCTGAACAGTTAAAAAAAAAAGGAAAAACAAACCACACTGTTACCATGATCCTAGCTCAAGTGAACATTAGTACATTAACTACACATCACCGTAACATAATCACAAAATTCAAAGCACTCATTACTTAAGAATCCAGATAACAAATATAGCAGAGTAACAAACAGAAAACTCTGGAGAAACCATGTTCTTTCTCACCTCTCCCACTTCCACATCCACCTCAGCCTGAGCAGGCAGGAATGATGTAGCACAGGTTGGCCCAGGCCGCTCTCCTAAACACAACCATCGTAAGATGATGGGGAGAAACGGGACAATACACTTTGCTGAGGTCACATTGTTTTTCTGCCATGCTAGAACTGCGGCTAGGCTGAGCCCTGCAATGCCTCATGTGGTATGGACAAAGTAGCTGAAAGCAAAGTTCTACATTCGAAAGCAGCTCCATGTTTTCACATTGAATTACCCAAAAATTCTCACAGATAGCTCCTTGTAAAAGCCACTGCAAGCAGCCTGGGAGAGGTTGGCCTGCCTCCTGCATGTGGAGTTTTGCTAAGATGTAAACCAGTGCTCAAGTGCCAGCAGGTTAAAACACTTTGCCTGTGAAGGCAACAAATTCATTGTGCAGGCATGAGCAGAGCTGCTCTGTGACAAAGACTGGTATTTCATGCTGATTTTCTGACCACACCTGCACTTGGCTCCTGCTTGAGCAGAAATCAGGATATCTTCTAGGGCGATAGGCTCTTAAAAAAAGGAACTTATTTAGAAGCTGCCTGTAATACCTAAAGAGTTTGTTATGCATCCATGTACATCAGTATCCCTCCAATTTTGAAAGTATCAGTTTAATATCACTAAGGATTAACCAGTGTTGCCAACTCCTGTGGGATATCCACTAGTCAAGAAATGTGGAATCCCAGCGGTCTTTGGGAACAAGCACTAAGTAATGGGAACAGTGTCTGGCAGTGTGCCAAGGCTCTCCCTGAGAGAGATGCTTTGGGGCTTTGCCAGTAGGTTGGCTACACCTCATTAAAAAAAAAAAAACAAACAATCAAACCAAACCAAACCAAAAAGGGTAAGGGGGCAAAGGAGAGCAAGCCAAATGCTCAGCCTCAGCAGGCAGCTGTGCCTCTCAACCCACTGCTGGGGTGTGGAGAACAAACACGTCCAAGGGACCTGCTGCTTCTGCAAGTCTCTGAGTTAAAAGTGAGGGCAGAAAGACTGCAATTCCCTCATGCCAATCAGTCCAGTAGGGATTTGCCAGCAGGATAGAAGGACTTCATATGGAGACCTCCTTTGAGGACAGCTGGGTCACTTGCTGTTTCCCCCTTCCTTCTGGGAAGCTGATACTTATCGCTTTGGGGGGTATCAGTAGGGCAAAGCTCAGCATGTCAGATGCATCATGCATGCCACTTGGAGACCCTGGAAAAGCTCATTCTTCTCTTGGCAAGAGCAGGTTAGACCACTCCTTTCTCCTCATGCCTCCAATGCATCCTAAAAGGGGCATCAACTGACAAGTTCAACAACTGGAGGTCTTACTGGATCACCTCCTGATGACTTCTGATGTTCTCACAGAAAACCTCTATTCTTCCAAGTCAACTGCACAAGCTAAAAGATCTATTTCCAGCACTGTCCCCACTTTTGTAGAAATCCATCGCTATCCCCATACTCCCTCTAGTTTTCCACCACTTGGGTCATCTCCTTTTTCTGCCACAACTAAGCGCAGTAGGAAGGCTGCAGTAAGTAGGAAGGCTGGCTGTTCCTTCTTATCCACTTCTCTAGCTACAAAGAGCTGCTAGTATTTGCAATTTATCAAACGCAAATATTGCTCCTCCCCAGTAAATTTAGGAATAATCAGCCACAAAAGGCAGATCTAAAATGGTGTTAAAGGAAGTCGAGCAATAGCCCAATCTGGAGATGTGCTTCCCATTGGAGCCAGGATGCCAGAAAACTCAGAACCAAGCCTGGAGCTCAGCTCAGACTGAGGAAGGAACATGTGGAAGGGGCAGGATACACATACCTGGGAGCAGAGAAATGCACATGATACACTCCAGCTTTTTCAGTGTTCAAAAAAAATTAAGAAAAAGAAAAAAGGATCCTTTGGAGCAGGAGCAGGTGGTGGGTAGGTAGAGCATGGTGGTCCGAGTCAGCTTCCAGTTTAGAAACAAGTGTAAAGCATTTCAGTGTTTCTGATGAACACAGACTTCTCAACTTGTCATCTGAATTCTTCCATTCCAACAGCGGATGTGCCTGTCCTTGAATGTTAACAGGGAGCAGAGGGAGCTGCTCCAGAGGAGACAGCTGTAGGAGTTATCTCACTGCAAATTCCTTCATGCCATTTTCTATTTGCATATTTGAAAGCAAGCTGTATTCCTTCAAGGACAAGAAATATTCGCAGCAATACTGTGCCCTACTGCAAAGGATTCACAAGCAGGAGATGGTGTGGCCATAACAGACTGTCCTGCTCTGAATGTCCCACACCTCCAGTACTTTCCATCCCATGGTTCAAGGTGAAAGGCTCATGTGAGCTTCCTACTTGTGGGAGAAGTGCCGATCTCTACCCAGCAGAGGTATTTCATTTCAAAGCGATGTGCAACACTTAAAGCCCACAGACACTTCCAGCCCTTTTTACCTCCTTTCAGCAGGCATATTCTAGTTATTTTCATTATAAACTCTGCAATTACTCCAATCTGGCTGAGGGATTATCCATCCAGTTCATGCTGAAACCTCTCTCTCACATGCACTCTTGCACACTCACACACACACGCACACATATTCTAAGGGAAGGGGAGGGAGTTTGAAAAAGCCACATTTTTCTGACATTGGAAGATCTACTTACCAAATTGCTCCTCCTGGGGTGCACAATAAACACCACCAAATGTCAGGCTGTGGCAGTTTCAAGTTCAAGTTAGATCAGTTAACTTCAGTTTCCTTCTTAGCCATGAGAAAATTTTTACAACTCGGGGAGTGGGGTAGGAATCCTCACCCCTCTGGGGTTCCGTATGAAGTACCCACACACAGTCCCTTCTTGAGGGTAAGACACCTTTCTTACCATGTGCCGAAAACGGATTTCAGCAGTTGCTTGCTATATGTACCTTAAACAGCTCTATACAGCAGAGTACAAATTACGGTACCACTTGAAGACCCAACAGAACAGCAGCATGGAGCAGCAGGGCTATGACAACCAAGGACAACCTGCAACGGTGGTGACTCTGTTTGGTCAGCCAGTCTTCCAGTTCTCCCAATTTCTCTCAACAGCAAAATAAAACACATCCTTGTACATGCTGGCCACAAAGATACAATTAAAATATTCGGGAGTTCTGCAGCTTTCAGTGGCTGGAGGAACAGATCACTGCTTTCTACAATAACCTCAATGTGAAAGACAGGATAACCAAACTGAGGAAAATAATTATTAAATCTACAGCCAAGGTCATATAAAGCCCTGCTGACATGCAACCATGCTGCAGACCAGGTAATACCTGAACTTAGGGGGACAGTGTTCAAATAGCATTAAGACTCAGAACTTGAACTCACCAAAGTCTGGGATGTAAACTTGGATTCTCTCCACTCCTTTGCCACTTTGGCTTTGGGACTGCAGTATTCATGATATGTGGAGCTATCTGAAAGCCCAAACAGCCTTCCTGGGCTTAAAAAGTAGTGCCAAAATTAGTTGTGGATGAACTTATCATTGTGACTCAGAACTTTTATGACTCTGCAGAGGTAAGTCACTCTGCCAGTGTTACCTGAACAGACTTGTTAACCTGTTTGACTCTCACAGCAGTAGTTCAAACAGAAAACAGGAGTGTCATCACAAGCTTTGAGATGCTCTTTAGAGCTGATGTAGTCTCAGTCTCTAGGCTCAATGAAAACACAGGGAACTGAGTGCTCAACACTGCTGTGCCCACGTGCCTTAAAAACTGCCCTAGGTATTCCCCAAGCACCAACTTTTCCTTCCTCCGTAACTCCATCGCCTTCTTGTCTGTCTTAGCTGTCACCAAAATTATTCACGTTTTCTGGACTGCTCTTTAGGGACTCCTGGCCCAGCTCCTTGCTAAATTTCATTGGTGGAAAAGCGCATCCCAAGCAATTAGAGACAATGCAACTGCTTCCCCAGCAAAGTGAAGCTGATGAGAATAGCTAAAAAAAAAATCCCATCTGCCAAGTTCAGAGGGTGTTTAAACCCCTTCAGCTCAGAGATAAAGGGCATCAATTTCCTACTGTAGGATTGCAGCAACTCCCTACTAAGGCAGTGGAGGTTATTTCAGATGTATAGGAGATCTGGGCACAAAACTGGAATGGCCAGGGGCTGATTTACACAGTCTTTCCTGATCTAAATGCAGGCCTGCTGCAATTCCTTCCAGCTCTGTGAAGACAGCTGTTTTCCCCTAGACTTCTGTCTAGTTCAGAGACATGCAGAATTGTTTCTCATGTCCCTCCTCTTCAGGGCTATTTTTATCTTCTAAAAAATCACATTTTGCAAAAGTCTCAGCTAGAAAGCAAAGATCCATCACAGCTATCAGCAAAAGGACTCATCAGCCCATGTCCCTAAACCACAGTGCAGCATGCATGCAGGTTAGACAAGCACACCACAGGCTCTCCTTCCAAATGCCTTCTAGCAAGGCTAGCCCCAGAAATGCTGCAGAAATGGCCTGGAGTCACTGCTAAATGCAATGACTGTCTTCATGACCACACTCATTTTACCCATCTGACATCTCCAGAGGACTGTGCATTTGGTCATTCAATTGAGGCAAAGTCTTATTGTCACGGCCAGAGTGTTTGTGTAATGTCTCCACTCTAGGATGGCTCTGGAGAGCTTCACAAGGTTTTTAGCAGCTCCCTCTTCCAGCACCCAGCTACAGCCTCTCTGAGGGGAGAAGGAATGGAAAGGAAAGAGCAATGTCCAGCTTTCTTTCTCACCACAGACTCAAACTTTCTCCAATTTACAGAATAATTCGTAAGTCATCAGCAACATACTGTCTTCAGGGAAAACAGTAGGAGGAAGATGGTACAGACAATCACTTTGCTAGTGAAATACTGTCCTGGGCCAACATTTCAGCTGGGGCAGGGGTGGACAGGATCTCAGCCCCAGCTCATCATGCTTGGGACTTTGGCAGAAGAGAGTTTAACTTTTCATTGATTAGCATTCCCCAAATGAGCAGATGTTAAGGGAGACTACAATACACATCCAGCTTCCAAAGGGTTAGCATAGCAGGCAGGAGAGGAAAGAGATTGGTTTGGCTCATAATAGTCAAATTTCAAGGGTCCTCTCTCCACAAAAAAAATAAGTCTGCAGTCAGAACAGCCAAAAGCCACAGGGAAGCTGGATCTGGGGGGGGAGAGTGACAGTCTGGCTGTTGTGTATCTGTTGCTCTTCAGAGCTGAATGCTTTTTCAAAGGCCTAGCAATGGATATTGATTTCAGTCTGAGAGAAGCAGCCTCCTCCCCACCCACCCTCCCACCCACCCTGAAGTGACTCTCAGCAGGATGCGCTGTGGCTATAAATCTTCTGCTTAACAGCAAAGCAACACATTCTGGCAACATCTTAAATATATTCATAGGACATCTGTGACTGGGTTTGGAGGGGAACCAAACAGGGTAAAGGGAAGAGGAGTGAACATGAAGAAGGGGATGAGAGAGGAAAGGGATGGGAAGGTTTAAAAATGTTAACTGTTCATGAAAGATAAAAGTCATCTTCTGATATAGCAGCACTTTAGCAGTCAGCCGCGCTGAGTAGACCCTGTCTGAGATCAACCGCATGCCAACTTTGTTCCAGAAACAAGTCTGAGAGCCTCTCTCTTCAGCAAGTATTGGTTACGTGGATAGTTCTTTTGTCCTGGCATTTAAATACTGCAGCTTAAATGAGTCCTGGGAACGAAAAACAGAACAAACCAAACAAACCCCATTCGTACTAAATCTTTTAATGATTTGAAAGAACATCTGATTGACCAGAGTGTTTGAGAAAATCAAGAAAGCTGATCTGATAGGTCTGGAGCACCAGCATACAGTTACCAGTCAAACAGGATCCATGATGTGGATCATGGATTCATGGGAAAATGTCACTGTGAAAACACCTTTGCAGAAGCCTGTTAGCTCTTCTGCCATTTTTCACAAGCTATTAACAGTAACTGTGCATGTACCCACCAAAGTGAGCAATCATGCTATCCCACTTCACTCATATACATCAAATTCACTCTACAACTGACCCAAACCTATGAAACATTATGTTCTCCCCACACTGTGCTCACCAAGGGTAAGGTGATGAGCAAACTAGCCAGGTTCTGATATGAACAATTTAACAGCCATGCTATGTGAGAGAGAACAAGGGCTAGGCCCTATCAGTAAATTATTTTGCATGTTGATGCATCTTGATTAAATTTGCCTGGGCTTGTGCCTCAGTGTCTCCTCCCCTAGCCAAACTGTAATCTCGAATCAGCTTGCTGCAGTGTGAGGAGAACGGTCACCACTTCAGAGGGAGGGAATAAAGCTGATGCTTCTTGGCAAAACCCTCCTGCCTGGTGACAACTGCCCAGGGTCAGGCCATCTGCATCCCCTTGTTAGGCAGCAGCTGCTCTACTCGCTCTGCAGAAACCCTTCTTCCTTCTGGACAGCAGTGATAGCTGATTTAATTATTGATGATGATGGACAGAGGAGGAAGAGTTCTTTGGGGGGAGTCATAGGTGCCACATGCCACAAAATAAAGTCCCTATTCTAAGGTATCAAAACCACTCCTGTACTTTTACAGGACACTGTAATTACTGTACAACCAAGACGAGAAATACTGATAGATCCAGATAATTATTTAAGCAGCATGCTCGTACTACATCCAGTGTCTCCTCTGAGCCTCCTTTTATTTTGTGATTTTTTTTTTACCTGTGCGAGTGTGAGGTACAGTGTAGTGTTATTTATCTGGAGATGTAGGTGTATGTTCTGGACGGGGAACGAGTGGATTCTGCTTGGGCAGCTGGGTCATTCAGAAAATCCCAGATGAGGATGGTGTCATCGTGTGAGCTGCTGACAATCTGGAACTCGTCAAACTGAAGTCGAAAGACTCTTCCAGAATGCTCCTAAATGCAAGTGGGAGACACAGCACGTTACTCTGCAAACTAGCTGGCACCTGGGATGAAGGAGGGAATATGAACTCGGCCTTGATTCTATCTAGTGTTACATTAATTTCTCAGTAAACCCCACATAATACACTGTGCGTCATGATCACAGAGCATAAATTACGCTCCCTCAGTGAAAAGTGTTTGCCACATCTGAGTACTTGGCTTGCAGGAAGTTTATATTACAGTTGTCCTGCTACTCCTTAAATCCCAATGCTGGATACACACTGTGCAAAACAGACCAAACTCTTTCCACCACACAATTCTGTCTGGCAAGACTGACAGGTGCACTGCCTTCCTTGTTCCTTGGCAAAACTCGTTCCTGAAATCACAGCATTTGCTGATGCATTAGGTTACAGGGGAAGAGATGACAACTTTGCATTCACAACTTGGCACCATTGCCACCACTGAAGAGGAAAGAGCTTAACACTGGAGGACACTAAGGAGCCTGCTGTAAAGTCCAGTGACACAGTAATAATTCCTCTTAAGCAGTTCTAAAAATATGAACTAGAAAGGGCATTCTTTATAGGCAGTTTGCATTCTGCTCCAAGGCTGAGTGAAAATGGCATGACGATTTGGCAAGAGTTCAGATCATAATTAACAGGAGGCAATGGCAAGATCTCGGATATCACAGAGCAAATCCACTTTCCCTTTTGTGTTGCCTATTTTCTCTTGGTGCTTACAGTGCTGCAAGACTAGTGGCCTCCTCCTTGGTCAGCAGGGAACAGAAACTGTGCAACCAGGGTGAGCCCCATCTCTTCCATCAATACACATTTCTCTTTAATGCTTACACATTGTAAGGGGCTGAGGGTCAGGAAAAAAACTCTTAAAATACTTTAATACTGAAACCACAGGTTTCTCAAACATTTAGATGAAAGAGAGTTGTTTGTTAATAAATAGGAAACCTTTGTCTTATAGCACAGGACTACAAAAATACAGCTCAGTTTGCAAAGTGCAACAACTGCTGAAAAGTAAATTTCTAAATCTTTAAATTAAAATTATGTGAAAATAATCACTCACAGAAGTCAGATTCTAGTTAAGGGATAAATTTTTAAAAATTTCTAATTAATGGAATCTTTCTGATCATCTAACTATAACTCAATTTTGTCTTACAAACACCTTATGAATTTCTACCTTCCCATCTACTCTAAAAAGAAATGTTTTTCCAGAGTTTGTGTTGTAGCAGTAAAGAAGTGCTTGCTAAAAAGTATCACTACAACAGTCAGATCCACCATTGGATTGCTCATACAGACAGTGAGAGAGAGAGATACCTGTTTCCAAAAGGGCTGCCCTACCTGGACTGTCTAGGTCGTAAGGAAAGCTGACCTGTGTGCTTATTCTGCGCATGGAAAGCGCCTGTCAAATTCATGTGGCCAGCGTTCCAGCTAACACAAGACAAAACTGGAAGGGACCTGGCATGCAGCGAACATTTGTTATCTGTGCACTTTCCTCCTACTGTTTGAAAATTGAACACAAGCAGCAGGAGACTCATGATGTTCATTGTGCAGCCAGGTTTAATTTTGGAGGACGAGGAAAGAGGAAAAAAAAAACAAACCATGGGCAAGCGGGTATAAGGACACCCTGTAGTCATAAAAGTCTAAAAGCACCACAATGGCTTCCTCTGCTCCCCACTCCCCTTTCGGCCCCCTCCATTGCTATCAAACAGGGATTTATGAGTATCCATGTGTCGAGATTCCTGCAGTGTTTCCATCCCACCACTTCTGATTTATAATATAATTAGCTGGGGCACTTTGGCTGTCCACTGCTGGAAAATGCAGAGGAAATCACACCAGTTAAATTAAGTCTACAGGTTAGCTGGCACACATTTGTCTCAGGTTGGAGCACGAACACTACTAATACCAGGACTCTCAGGATATGTGTTCACGGACACCGAGTTGTTCCACATTTTGGAACTGGGTGGCCAATGACAAAGGGGTTTTTTTGGATTTCAGCCATGATACTATTTGCCGTTCTATTTGGCTAACAAGAAGGTGTTTCAACATAGTACCTGCAGGCATCCAAGGCACTCAAGGACTCTTACTCTGCAGCTGAGGTCCAAATACATGACTGGAAAAGAGTTAGCATGGCTTAATGATCTACTGTCTGTCAGCTGAGTCCCAGTAACCCTCACAGCCTGCGTCAAATGTGAATACTTCAGCAAAATCTACAGCAATGGTAGCAATTCAGGTGGAGGATGAGTGCGCAGAAGGTCAGCCAGCACAGCTCAGTGGGTGAGAGACACTTTTAGAGAATCAGAAAGCCTTGGTATGATCCTGGTTTAGAGCACAGACTACAGTCATGTGCCACAGCAGTAAAAGGTCTAACACAGCGACCCAAACACTGCCCAAACAACACTTTTTAGTTATGAAATAGAAACATTTAGTACTTCTTCTTTAATGAGAATTTGGTATTGGTTGAAATCTTCCTTTTTCACCAGCAATAGTGCCTGTTTTTCAGGTTAAATGTGGTGAGGAACACTTATAGGAACATTCCCATGACCTTGACTGTACTGTCATTTTTCTCACACCTTTCCCATGTTACTGTGAGACCAGTGCAGAGCCACTGTTAAGCATGACTGTGAATGCCGTTAACACTCACACAATGACATTTTAACCACACCATCATCAGGCCTGTGCTAAAAACCAGTGGATGGCATGAAAACAGTAGTTGCTGTTTAAGGATAACGCAGTTTCACTGTTTGTTCCAGTCCTTACCTGCTTTTTCCTTAAACACCCAAGAGCCAGTTAAAAGCAATCCCAAGGGTGTCTTTGTTCCTGCTCTTCAAATTTGGGATGTAGTACTTTTCTTCAAGAAACTTCATGTTAACAATTCAGACAACTTACTACACCATCAGGTACACACGGGGTAAAGTAAACCCACTGGCATATGGATTCCGAGAAGGACATTCTCAAAAATGGATTTACTCATTAACTTCAAATCACAGAATAAAATTGCTAAAAAGTGAGCGAAAACTCCCAAAGTTCTTATTTTTAATGCTTTATGGCTTGCAACTTTAAAAAAACTTTTGGACACCCCAAAAAAGCCAGACCCTGAGGAATTATGCCTGGATCCTGCAGACTGGGGCTAAATGACTTGAGTTTTCACGGTTCAAGATAGCCCTGATCAAGGACACTTTTTCCAGCACCCCTACCAAAAGCTCTTACCACAAGGGTTCGCAAGCAGAGGGTCCCTGCTGGAGCACGGGGGTCCAAAGCAGCCACAAGATCCCATACCTTAATTTTCCTAGTAGTGAAAAAAAAAAGTAACTGTTAGTACAACTCAGCTAATAGACCATTTTAAGGAAAATTACATCAGTCCTTCTGCTCTTCAGACCTGGTTCTTGAATTTTCCCTTTGTAAAGCTTATAGAGCTTAATGGGAGAAAAAAATAAGCTGTTAACAAAGTAAAACATAAAAAGCAGGTGGTAATAACTAACAGAAACATGGGAGTGCAGACAACTAGTCTGTAACGGCAAATGGTCCAGCAGACATAACCACAGATGGGAAAGATGGTTCTCATGACTGGTTAAGCTAGAAGAGGTTTCAGGTTGAGTCAGTCAGATATTCTTAAACCAAAAGAGCAGGACCACATACACCAAATCACATGGACTTGTTTCAAAAGAACAAAAGTTATGCTTTGTAGCATGGTCCTGATTTACTGACCATGAAAAGGTCCTCTTAGTATGACAGAGAATCTAATATTTATAGGGAAGATGCAGCGAAGTGGGATGGGAGACACTGAGACAGACAGGAAGATGCAAAGCACTGACTGCACTGATAACCTCACCCATCATATGCCCCACTGACTATCCTCTTGTTATCAAAGCGTATGCATCTCACCAACTCTTCATGGCCTTCCAGTACTCGTAAACACGCCCCACACTCGATATCCCACAGCCTGGAAGAGAGTATAAGGAAGCCAATAAGAATTTTTTAATATCTTATCATTGCAACTAAACATTCGGTCTTTGCTTGTAGTTAATGGAAACTTGGAAATAAAGATTATGATGAAACAACAAAGAGAAAACAACACAGAAGAAAGAAACTACATTCATAACTCCTTCTCCTATTAAGTGGATGCATGCTTTTCAACATGACCCTGTGATGTTACAGTATCACATGGGAAGTGAGTCAGAGACCAGTTGTGTCTAATATCTAGTGCTGTAGTAACACAAGGTTATCTCTCAGTTATCTTCACATTGAGCCTCATTTTATATTACTGGGGTTCATTTTTCATGGAAGTGTCCTGACATGACTTTAAGATGTTAAGAGAGGGAGACTTACCAATCCCCCTGGCAGCTTATTTCAATTGACAATATCATCTTCTCAGGACATGTGCCCCTTTCTGCTCCCCTACATGCCTCTTTCTGATTTGGAGACTACCATCGGACAAATTAAGTCATCCATACAGCAGTGAAAGGTACAAGAATAAACAAGCCCTTTTAATTTGTCATTCCTCCCACTGAAAGAATGTTTAATCTGTAATCTAGTCACCTGATGCATAAGCTAAAATGGACAATTTATGTTTATTCTTTTATAATGCATTTTCTTCTTGCTCTCAAATAACTTCTGTGGCTTTCTGTGAACTGTTTCTAATAATAAAATTTTAGAAAAGTTCTGTCTCCCAAAGCAGCATACAGTATCCCAGTAAAAGGCACAGCAACACATTATTCTCTCAACTGTAAATATCCCAGAGTTTTGACATTTGTGATGGATTTTGAGCATGGAGAATAAATTAAAATATTTTAATTTTTACACTTACACACCACCTTTAAAAACAGTTAAGAAATGCTATAAACAGTTATGAAGCAAGTCTATTTTTCAACATGCTTTTGTCAGCTCTTTGACATGACTCCCAACTACCATGGATTAAGAAAGATTATCTGCCTACAAGAATTGAAATTCTCTGACATGTATTGTATCGAGTTGTTCATACAGCACTCTTTTAATAGCAGTATCTGCTGCAGCTCCCTGACACTTAGGGGAAAGCAAGCAGCCACAAATGTTCTTAAATGCTCATTCATAAGCCTTTAGACTAACATGTCCTCCACAGAAGTGAGAAATATGGGGGGGTTGTGGAATTTCTCTGGGTGACATATCTTGAAGCAGCACAGCTGCTGAGGGGTCAGGTCACTTCACTTGAGAGAAAAAGATAAACCACTCCCACATATATTACTCCTGAGGTCCCCCAGGGAATAATCCAGATCCAGGTGATATGTGCTCAAGGTTGGTGGACAATGATTGCAGCTGTCTTGCTACAACAGTTGCTCTCAACTTTGGACAACAGAAAAAAGAACAGAACTCTTTTGTAACTATAGAACTGGAAAAGGATTTGTCTATGCATGTTTGAAGCCAACTAGGAGCACAAGGTGATTCTGTGGAGTTGATCTCTCAGGAATCTGTGCAGACCCCAATGGTTTCACACGAGTACAGCACACCAGTCAAGGTCAGAGCAAGAAACTTCATGGCAAAGGTCAGCCAAAGGCACTCTGGTTGGTCAGAGAGCATTAAGTCTCTCAAGGATGGACAATGCCAGAGATTAACTGGTGCAGAAAGGTTTGAAGAGCAATCTTGTGCCAGGAACTTTTGTGCCATGTGTTTCCATTCCTTGCCATCAATTCTGAGATTGCCAGCAGATCTGGGAGGCTGCATCACACTAATTCAGGCCTGTATTTTCAGGTCCCAGTTTGAGGTTTTACCTGAATTTGAATGGGATTAGAAGAGGTGATCATGCCCCCAGTCACATGGGGCATGGGCCTTCATGTACAAAGGGGATAACTGCTATTAAGAGCAGAGCTTCCTAGCACAGTTGGTGCCAAGGGTAACTCCCAGATTTGATAAGCTTCTCAAATGTCTACTTCTTTAAACAGTCAAAGGAACAAATACTAAAAGAACTAATTTTAAGGCTTGAGAACTAACTAAAAAAATTTTACGCAGTTGAAAACACTACCATCCTTCCTTCCTACAATTTGGGAGAATTTCTAGAGGTAGAGCGAGGTCTTCAATTATCCCAGCCTTTAATTCACTTCAAGTCCTGGCAGAGCTGAAAGATGTACAGAAGGCAGGTGAGCCTCAATCCCCATCTCTTAAAGAGAATGCTGTAGTCTAAACAGACCAGTATCAGATTCCCATGTGGGCACACACTGGAAGTAGAATACACACGTGCAAACCAACCACTCATTTAAAAATTACCACAAGATGTTAAAGTCTGATTCTATTCTCTTGCCCTAAATTCTCTGGTTCATTTTTTTCCTACACAATGCTTGCCTGTAGCAATTAGGAACTCTGGCCCTAGATGCTTGAATTAAACTTGAGGGACCACTTTCTATCAGTTGGAAATCAGCACAATGATAGTGATGTCTGTGTAGCTGTGTCCTCTTACACTGGTGAAATTTCTGGCCTAAAACAAAACCCAAAACATTTTTCCATGTGGAGTTTCCCTACAGAAGAAAGATACTGATTTCTCAGCTACTCCACAAGTCCTTACGTTTGCAGTTGCAAAACTAGAAATCACAGTCATCTTTTGCAAAAAAGTTTCACTGCAACTGAGGAACGATGAACTTTAAGTTCTGTATCAGCCTCTCCTAAAGGCTAACACACAACATCTGGCACTTTACAGGGAATTCAAATCAAACATACAAATCACCAAGCCACCCACAAAGATGACTTAGTAACCTGCCCTTTCTTAATCACCCTTCCACTGACTTGTGCCCTTTGCTAATGGCTCGGAGAAACGTATGTGACCAGGTAAGTCCTTTGCCTTGCCCACACTGCTGCAAAACTTGACTTCCATTAAGATTCACTGCCGACATTCCTGAAATTCTAGCACAATTTATCTATCACCTAGGGATTTTGTCCAGTGTAAGCATAAAAGTAACAGTATTCCTCTTTAGCATTATCGCTATCTTGACATTTATTTTTATTAGCACTGCAAGTCATATTTTAGATCCTTCCCTAACTGCTGTAGTATTTAACTATTTCTTACTCTACTTTTGAGATCAAGTTTCACAGAACAACTGCAGAAGGTTATTTTTTCTATTTGAAGAGCACTTCTCACCACATGTAAGTGGTTCTGCTCTTACACAATGCCTATAATACCTTTTTCCCCTGATTAAGAGATGGAAGCTCCAGCTCTTCTGGTCCTGCTCTCAGACAGCCCTACACTAAAATCTGCCACAATGACCTATGAAGCCAACCAGAGGACCACCATTTTCCTACAGAGAAAAGCAGGGACAGGCAGTGTGTTGCAAGCCAAGTCCACAGGCTTGCAATAGCAATAGCATAAATAATTCTCACCGAGGAGAAATTATTACTGGCACATGAAGGGTTTCTGCTCATACTGTCCAGCTTTCAAGTTTTATCAGAAGGCAGACAATTATTTAAAGAGATGACAAGGACAAAAGGGACATTGCTCTTCGTCCCATTTCCATGACAGAGGCATTTTCTTACATCACGTAAACTACTATTCAAGTTTGTTCCATATACCCCGAAATTCATGGGACATCCCTCTGCCAGTTTCTGTAGGATGTATGGAGAAGTCCAGGCTCATGATACTAGAAAGAGTTAAATCTCAGACTGCAACCAGGGCAGCTGGAGAAGTGTAAAAGGCAGCAAACTGAACTTCATGCTCTAAACCAGCTGTTCCAAACTTAACCAGGTGCCAAGTACCATAAGAAGAGTTTGGCGAGAGCCCAGGAGGATTTCTGCAGAGGATTAAATGCCTCTTACTGCAAATCTGACCCCTTTAACTAGACACATAGTCCAATTAAAATATCACAAGAGGACATCACAGAAAGTGGTACTTGCCAGCTCTTTCATACACCAGAATTGTCAGAGCAATGCAACTTGTTGATTAGTATGGGACTCCTGAGATGCTGAGGATGAAAGACAACACAGTAAAACAGGTTTCTAATATCTCTTCCAAGTAACTCCCAATGTTCTACACCAAAGAAAGCATATTTCAAAGTTGACAAGGGTACAGAGCACTTCAGCTGCCTAACCTCTGCACATCCCAGTGAATCAGAGACAACGTGCTTGCACATAACTCTGCAATGGGGAGTGTGTCTCTCACCTGATAGTATTATCTGAAGAGCCGCTCACTACTAGCCTGTCTCTGTACTGCAGACATGCAATGCCTCGTTTGTGGCCATTTAAGGTGCGCACAAATTCGCAGGTACTAGTGTTCCATACCTGTGATAGGAAGGGAGGAGGGAACCACACAGAGACAAAATTATTAAGAAGTGACTAACAAAAGATGGTGTCTGTATGATTTATAGATGCATCCAGAATGTTCTTAATCGAAGAGGCTACCATTTAAGACTGGGAAAATTACCATTCCGATGACTTGTGATTATACTCTGCAACTGTTAGCAGCTTGGGTCACTGTACACACAAGATTTTTGCCACACCAGGATTAGCTTCTAGATTTAGCACTCTTCAGCTATGATTTAGTCTACACATGATCTTCATTTTCCTGAGGTTTAATACTGCAGATTGGGATTACAGCAGTAATGTTTAAGTGACTCTTATCCACTCACCTTCACTTTTGCCCCCATGCTGCCCTCTGACAACTATTTGAATGACCGATGCTGAAACAGATTATGGAAGTGGTCAAGTCGAAAAAGAACACCGAAAAAAAATTTCTTTTTCAACTGCATCTGCACCTGGATCTGATTTGCCATACAGCTCTGTAAATAAGTTGTGCAAGCTCAAGAGAGGAGGGACAAGTGGAAATGAGCAGCAGGAAGACTACTGCTTCTAAAGGAAGATCTGGGTAATAATGGCCAAGGACCATCTTCCCTGTCTGGTCACTGTTCTTCATTAATAAATACCCCAGTGCTGCAAATAAAAAGCCTCTGAAACACCTCACCTTTATAGTTCTGTCACCTGATGCTGATACAATGTACTTGTCATCAAAGTCCACTACGTTGACGGCAGCTCGGTGCCCTACTAGCACCCTCCTCAGAGTGATGTCTGTTGGAGAAGCCATGTCCCACACGGCGATGGAACGGTCTTTGGAACACGTCACCATCATGCCATTATTGAAGCGGAGGTGCAGCACGGCCTCGCAGTGGTGGATCAGTGTGTTCAGCATCTCACCTGCATTCACGTCCCACACTCTGCAGTTTCAGATTTCAAACCAGAGAGAAGAGAGTTAAAAACCTGCACAGTGCATTTTCTGCAAAGCAAGAGAGGGATGGGGAGAGGTAATTGACTCTAGTGATATTAGGGAAGCAAACACCACAGGTTATATCTACACCTATTAAATAGTTCATTAAAAAATGTATTATATAAACCTGTTGATTATGCATACATTGAGACAGTCCAGCAGCCAAAAACTCTGCAGTGCAGTTAACACCATAAAAATAACCCACCCAGGAAAAGAGCATTCTTTAATTAAGGGAATTTAGAGCTGAGGAAAGGTAGAAGACTGATGGCCTTAAAGGTTGATGTTTCCTGGTTGTGTCAGCCTGCCATACGCTTCATTTCCAGTCCATGTGGAGAAGCAAGTTCAGTGACAGATTTAATTTTTGACCTCTCTCACAGGACTATCAGCTCAAGTGATAATTTATACAGAAGCAGAAAAGACAATTCTTTTCAAACAAATACAAGTAATTGCCATAAGTTGCACCACAAATTGCATTTACCCTAGAGTGCATCTGGTACACAGTAACATTCCAGGAATGTGCTGAATACCTAAATTAAGACACAGCATTTACGTCAACTTAATGTTATTGGAACCAACTGTTTCAACTGAATGATAATTTAAGACGCACGTTAGATAAAATCTTCAGACAGAACTTCTAGGACTTGAAATGAACATTTTAAGCCCTTAAAATGTTTCTTTTGGGCTATTCTGTTGGCAAACTTCTACCCTCCATAAAGAGATTTCTTTTGGCACAATCACACCTGTATCCCAAATATACTATACGAGAGCAGAAAATGGCTATATCATCATGCACATCAGACACTGCAGAAGTTAAAACTTTCCTCTGCCAATAATGCAAGCAGTAAGAAAAGGCAAGATGTGAGAAAGACTTCTAATGCCTTATTTTCTTACTTATGGAGACTGAAGTACATCAACTTATGGACTATAAATGAGAAAGAAAGCTACATTCCAATTACAAAATGCAAAGGAGAAAAAACTAAAGACCTGAGCCATTAACATACGAACAGTTTGCAGACAGGGTTGCCAAACTGAACAGGAGCTGGAGACCCACTGACTTCTTTGGACAAGTGCATCCCTGAGATCCCAGAAGCATTAAAAGCCCATCTGTACTGTCTATTGGATGAAGCCCCTCTTCCTGAGGAGACACAAGGATAAAAGCGATGCATCCTATGCGCCTCTGGTGTCTGCACAAACATTTATAGATACAAAGGGAAACAAAGTATTTCTGGGCAAGTAGCCAGTCTGCAATTTGGTCTGCCTGGCCTGATATGGAAGATGATAGTGCTTGTTACAGAAATCAGCCTCTCCTTTTGTGATCTGTTTAGTCCGGTGCAGTTCCTACACTGTCCTACACCATCTCCAGGTGTCTCCTTTGGCAGTGTTGCTGAAATTCTGGATCCCTACCATTGACAGGACCCCAAAACCTAGCAGCACCACAACACCGCATGCATCACATGTCAGAAAGTAAATTATTAGCTTAACGGTAGTAATGTACACACAAGCACGGTGATAACCATGGGGAGCTTGCAGCCATAAGGAACGCACGCTCATAGCTTCAGAAAAGGCCACTAACACAGCTTTCTGGTTTCCAAGTTCACTGCATGGGCATTGTTTGCACTCTGACAAAGAAGGAATATATAACAACATGTAGAAGACAGAGCTGCCCCTTCACATCCAAGTTCATATTGCAATTCACTAACTCATAACCTGTATTTATACTACAGGTCTTACATTCTCTGGGATTCTGTCACATGACTATTGGACTTCAAATCTGCACAACATGCACTACAAGTGCTACCTTGAGGTGTCCAGCCTTTTGCTGGAGACTGGAAGGAAAGCAAGGTTAGAAAGACTGAGTGAAAAGAAACATCATGCTGACATATAATTAATTAAAAGTCATAGGAGATCTAGGCATATATATTTTGTTAAAATTAGGTGGGAATGGATGATGAAACCTTCACACTTGCTTTGAAAACTTCAACTCTTAAAAAGTTATTCTCAAGGAGAATTTATAACATTCTCAGGGAGTGTCAAAACATGCAAAACCTTGGTGAAATGCCAGATGGCCTTCCTAAGTCAGCTTGACCTTGACTGGCCTTTGCTTAGATTCTCATTTCTCCTTGACAGCGATTTGCATGGACATCTGATAAACAAGGACAGCACACTGCTGAACAAATATGTTGAACTACTTCATGGGACTGACTGAACAGCACACATTTAAGAAGAGATCATTTCAGCATTTTGCAAAGCTAAAATCTTAAGAGGTAAGTAGAAAGCTCCAAATCATGAGCACACACCTGACTGTTGAGTCTGAAGATCCAGTAATGATCACCCGTTCATCGTACTGGAGGCACAGGACAGAACCCGTGTGTCCGGTGAGAATTCGCTTGCATTCCAATGTATTCTTATCCCAGATCTAAGACAGCAAACATTCAAAACCACACTGCTCAGTAGGGTTTTCATCTTTCAGCACTTACTGGTTTAACTAGTCTTTTTTTTACTACAACACATCATCGACAGTGCAGTTAGAACACCTTTAGTGGCACCTGTAGGGTCTTCTACAGGCTCTTTGGTGCAATACATTAATATCTTTGATATTACTGGCTTCACTATGAATATTAGTTTTACCCTTCTCATCAGGGTACAGGGCCCAGTAATTACATAGCCTGTAATTACTGATGGACAAAAGCTCTGCTAGCAAAGTCTGTCTGTCTGCGAACAGGGTCTCTCTAGCCAGATAAAAGAGGCATACGTGCTGTGCAGGTGTGAGGTGGGAGAAGGGGAAGGCTGGATTACAACAAGAGACTGGGTAGGTGTCACTGAAATAAGGACACTCCTATTTATGGCATAGGTACCACATAGTGTTAGTATGCCATTATGGAGCATTCTCACCTTGATAGTATTGTCTCGTAGGCCACTCACTATCTTCTGATCATCATACTGTAAACAATAAACCCCTTTGCTTGTCTCGCTTCGGCAGTGGATCCTCTGTAAACTGTGCCTTCCACACCGCCAGTTTGACTCTATTGTCTTGAGGAGAGATAGGAGACAAATGAGATGTAAAAAAAAAGCACAGAACTATTTCCTCTTTTTTTTTCGTTTAGTAGAGAAGACAGCAAGCAGTTTTCTTCACTCTTTTTCCTGCAATCAGGCCCATTCAATGACATAACTGCTTTCTAGAAGAAGCAAAACACGTACTAAAACCAATTAAACAGAAAAATGCCTGGAAAACATCTTGTGGCTAAACTGGTCTGTGTTATGTAACCTAAAAGCTTTTTTCTATCTCCAGCCTTTAATCCCCTGTTACTCAACAGCTGAAGAGAATGTCTCAGTAAGCTGTAAGTGCTTGTACAAACTTGTCACAACAGTGCCTGAGCACTGCTTTTGCCATTAGGAAACAACCAGAGAACATGCCATTTTGCCCATACTAAACGTCAGGCGACCATGCTCAGTTGCTTCCTGTTTCCCTGACTCTTAGGATTGCAGTCTTAGGCAATGCACTTTCTCCCTGGCTCAGTTCTTGATACCTTTCCATAACAGCTTATTAGGTCTCATCTGCACTGGGTGGAGCAAACTACTGTGGAACAGGGAAAATGAAGACATGGTGCTGCTGTGGCATCTGATGTGTAAGGTGCAGAGACTCCACCTGCAAACAGCTCACTGAACAATCCAACTCATCCTCTGTCTAAAGGAGCAGCAAAGCCTGGGACCTCATATAATTATCCCAGATCTACAAACTCCAGACAAACAAAGACACATCAGATTTAAAGGCATACTTCATTAGAATGGAATATTCCCAGAATTTCAGTATCATGAATGAATCAGGTTATTTGAAAAAAACAAACCCAAAAAGACAACAGCAAAACACCACCACATCTGGAAGCTGTTTCTTACCTCTATGTCCTGTATAATTTTGGGATAAAGTGCTCTGTAGAAGGAGTTGGGTGGAGCAGTTCCATCAGGAGGTTTATTTTTAAATAGATATTGCCCCCTGAAAGACAAAGAACACTTCCACTGAACACAAATGTTTCAGCATTTTGGAGAAAGGTCCTGGCATTTTACAAATGGGTAACAACTGCTGGAAAGTACACATTCATATTTAAACTTAATTTACTCAGTAAGATGGGCTGCTTTCCTGTTTGTTTGCCCTACAACGTATCAGTGTTGCACTTTAACACTGAAATACCCCAAAAAACATCTGTGTCTAGTCACTCAGATAAGGGAAATACATTCTCTATTATGGACATGGGCCCATTCAGCTCAGTAAGAGTTGAGAATGGCTCATGCCTGCAATACACATACACATATCAGAGGTCACCTTTGAAATAAAGCATAGAAAGTAAATGAAAGGAGCCAAGGAACACTCAAACTCACTATGCATTCAAGGTTAGTTTTTATCTGCATTAGCAGGAACAGTTTGGGTCCATGGACATTTTACTGCTACTAATGTATTTTGGTAAGCAACACTTCATCTGTGGTGCCTCCTTCATTTCAACACTGATTTGGAATACTCATATCCCAAGCTAGAGTTTTGCTACCAAAAAAATCTGTAAATGGCAATCACTACCTGCTGTGTAAAAAACTTTAATTCCTCATCCTGAAGTTAAGAAGCCACCAAACACGGTGTGGAAGCTTGTAAACCCCACCATGGGCGTACTAACTGCTGTTCTGCCTGGCAACATGCCTCACAAAATGGAGAGAGGCACAAATGCCTCTGAGTGTAATCCTGGCATCAGAGGCACAGAGTTTACACTGGGCCAGCTCTCCACTTCTCCCTCCCTTACTCCATTACAGCATAATTAATTGTTCAATATTTCCTTGCACATTCCTTTCCTGTCCTTTCCATACAGTACATCTCAAAACCAATTCGAGAGACTGTACCTTAGCTGCCCCGATGTACTTGAACTAGTGAGATCACAACAACAAATCAAAATTTTTAGGTTGTAAGGCCGTAGCAAACTATAGGATTGAACAAACAAAATGACAAATGCTCAAAAAAAGAACATTTGATACTTCTTTAAATAAAGTACTCTACGTACAACTTGAGAGAAAGGTGTTTTCCACTTTGGACAGAGCAATCACCTGATTCTTCAAATACAGCAACCAGCAAACACTTCAATGGGAACAAACACACGGATGCAGACAAAGCACCAACTATAGATGGTTGCCTATTTCCTGTGATCCAGTCTGGGCGTGCATTCATGAAAATTAAAATTACTGGCTCAGGGAGAGGAAGAACGCTTTGGAGGTACACAGAATACCTAGGACACATCCTGGAAGACTTGGGATAGGTCTACAACAATCTTTGTACAAGCCTATATGCCTAAAAACCTGTCTATTGTTTCTAACCTAACTAGGTAATGTAACACAAAGTCCGGGCTTGCTGCATGTAGAGTCAGTTGTTTACTGTTCAGCTAAAGGACTGTTTGGAATTTCCACGGCATCCCAGTAGCTGTTGTGCTGTAGCACTGGGATAAAAGGAACTATTGTTTGCAGGTTTTGATGACCAGCCAATTCAATCAGATGGACACAACTGTGCCCAGATTTTGAGCTTCTGTTTTATATTTCTCTAAATCTGTGTAACCCTTCCTGCTCCCTGACAAGCTGTCAGTGAAGGCTGCCATGCTGCAGAATGGGGGGCTTCTGTTGTAAACCACGAGCTGCAAATGCTGAAATCAGGCAGCCCATGTGCAAACTGAGGAGCTGTAAGCAAATAACATCAGTCATTTATCTTTCTGAAGTGTCCAGTTTGTCATGTCCTTGTGCCATGAAGAGCATTAGCACTGATTACAAGCTATAAAGCTCTACATGGCAGAGATACAATTGCACTGAATATTTCTTGTCTGCCTCTCTTAACCACACAGTTTTATCTTCTAAAGCTAACCAGAGGAAAGACTTGAGCATAGCTTGCTCCGGTTGTGTCAAAGCAACCTCCAGAACCCAGTGTAAACTTAAAGAAAAGGTGTAGTTATGGGAGATTTTTGCTTCTCGAGATGAGAAGCAAAATTTTGCAATTGTTTTTTAGAAATGCTGTTGTCTGTATGATTAGTACTTGGTGCTAATGTAATTTCTAAAGTGTGGAGGGTTCAACTTGAGAACTATCAATTATGACCTAAGACAAGATGCAGAGAATAGGTAAAGCTCCACAGAACAGGAAAAAGACAAATGTAGCTCTTGCACTTTAAAAAGGGAATAAGGTCCACCAGGGAAATGGTGGATTGTCTGACTGAAATAACTTGGACCGTTTAGCCATTCTAGAGCACACACTCAGTCAGATGAGTGCCTAGAAGATGACATGGTGACAAACAGCAGGCAACACTGATTAATCCAGAATATACCATGTCAAATTGACCCAATTTCTTCTCACAGGCTACTCTTAAGGCTGAGCAAGAGAAGTATCATCTTGGAAGATCTCAAGGGTGGACACACAGATGGCTGGAAAACAAAGCTTCCCGGTGGTGCACTGTCAAAAATGATGGCAACTAGGATCTTGCATGGAGTCTGTCCTAGATGTGTCATTACTGAACACTTTCATTAATGACAAAGAATGGAACAGGGAGTGCATTTATTACCTGGCCAATGATAAAACTGGGAGAAGTTACAGGCACTTTGGAAGCCAAGATTAAATTCATAATATTCCAGACAAAATGGAGAAATCCCCAACAATAATAAATACAGTGTAGTTCCTTTTCCAAGCAATGCCTCGGGAATCTCCATCACGGAAGGTTTTTAAGAACAAGTTAAGACAAACACCTGGGATGACTTAAGAAATACCTTGCTCTGCCTATGGGAAACAGAAGGGACTAAATGACCTCTCAAGGTCCTCTTAGGACTTACTCTGACCTCAACCATACAAAAAACCTCCATGAAAAGTCCTAGAGAGAATAAGGCACTAATAGGAATGCAAAAGTTACCACTGCTATGCTTGTGTTTATTTTACACTCTTTATAAACATTACACTATTGGAAGTAGATCAAAATAGTATTTATTTTTAAAGAATGTCTCATAATCCTGATTTACCTGCCTTTACTTCCTGAGACAAACAGTATAACAAAATTAACTATAAACCAGGAGTCTTTGTTTGCAACTCTGTATCTTTTTCTTTTTAATAGCAACCAAAATGCCTGAGCTGTCACTTTTATCTTGTTTATGAAATATTCATACCCAGTTTCCTTTCTGCCAACATCCTAGGGACACCCTTGGAAAAGAAAATTATGTATTAAAGGACATACCCCTGAGAGGGAAAGTTCTAATGAAATGTTATCAGAGCAGCTTCAAACTTGAGTGAGACCTACACTGTAGTAAGGCTATTCCAGATGATTATTAACTAATCTATCTGCATTTCTTAAGTCCCCTATTCTCCGTGGTACATACCCTCAGCTTCCAGTTTGAAAATTAAACAGATATCTAATAGTGAAAATCTGCTGAGGAAAACAAACAGACCTATCAGGAGTCAACTAATTCATAACACATGCTGCCCCACTGCCACCCCTAAAAAAGCTCTTCTGCTCTGAACTGCTGACCACTTTAGGGTTCCCCTGAGGCATACACAGCTTCTTAATTTGAACTGAATGACAGCTGGGTGTAAAAATTTCAGTCTGTATATCTCCCTTTTCACAGTGGGATAAGAGCATGATCAGATGAGGAAGGTGAGGAAAAAATCCCCCACGTTACCTGCATAGCCAAATGATGCCCTAACTCCCTAACCCCTGATTTTTGATTTAAGCAACTGTCACGTCTGGAACCACCATGATGTTTCAGTGTGCTGAATAACCCTCTTCAAATATGAAACGCACAGCACCTACTGTCCTGAAGGAGGGCAAAAGAGGTGAAAATGCAGTTTCCTCACCATCCTCTCCTCTCTGACAATCCCCTCCACAGGGAGTCTGTCCTGACCATTCTCTCGATGAGCTTCTTCCACAGCATGCCGTCTGATGTCACCCGGTACCACTCCTTGCACACCAGCTCGGCAGCACACAACGATTTGGCATCCAGGTATGACAGAATGTTCTCAGCAATGTGATCCAATCCCCGAGCTGGAGGAGAACAACAACAACAACAGAAGATTATTTGCTGGGCAGACATGGAGTTCAAAAGAATTCCCCTTGCTAGTACAAAGATACGCTCTCCTTCCATCTCCACTTCTGCATGCAGAGCTGGACCAAATGCACAGAAGAGCATTTGAGGCTAAGTTCAGGAGTGAGCAGTGTTCTCCAACTTCCTTTGGATATAGCACAACAAGTCATTAAAAATAATAAAGAATCCAAGAAGTCATTCCAATCTATTTCGATGGGTTTTAGCACTAGGGGGATATTCTATGGATGGCATTTCCAACTCAGCAACGCAGCCCCCAAAATCTCTCTATATTAGGACCATTTCTCATCTCACTGCTACAGCTGTTCTCATGTTGCAACGGCTCAAAAGCTGTTTTTGCTAAAGCAGTAGCTTTTAAACGTAATGAAGAAAAAAATATATATTCCCAATGTGTGCCCTGAAGGGTAGTGGTACCTTTAGACATGGGGGAGGGAAGGATATGCAGATGCACAGGGACGTCAAGAGGCTGTGCAAGGAGAAAGTGAAGCAGGTTTTCTAGTTTCATTTATTTTAGAGGGTGAAGAAAAAATATGCACAAAAATGACATAATTTGCAAATATTTTCCAGTGTGACTACCAAGACTGGCTCTACTTCAACATGGCTGGAGTGAAATGTAAAGCAATTGCCTGGTTAGCACCAAGCAACTCAACGTTGCTGGGGCCAGGAAAGGTTATGCTGTATTTCTTAACTGGATGGATGTAATTAGTAAAAATGTGCCCTTACAACTCAAATTTAATCACCAGCAAGACTTCAGGAAAATAAGATACCTTTTAAATGAGAAGTTGCATAAACACAGCTTCTCTTGGAGGCTGTTTAATTCACGAGTGAGACATGCCTCCAAGAGATTATCTCACTTCACAGGTCAAATTTCAGAGGCTTTGTGAAAGTTGTAGTTTAGGCCATATTGTCCCTCAGGCATAATGTCCAGTCCAACAAAAAAGAAGCATGGCAGATTGGTATTACATGCATTTTCTCTCTGATTCACATTTGGGACAAAGTTAGAAACATGTTTTCTTGCTTTTAAAACAACAGCCTCAAAGACCAGGCCCTGCTTGTGACAGTGAAAGAAAAAGCAGTAAGTGCATTTTAACAGTCACATGTCTGTATTTCTGCAAACCCAAACTGGGTGTGACCAGCTGATTCTGATTAGAGTTCATGACACACAAACGGCCAAACCTTTGTTTTCCTTAACTAGAAGACCTCAAAATTATCTCCCAGGGCACAATAATGAGAAAATTCAGCATGCCTCCTCCTGCTGCTTTCAAAGCTTCTAAATTTAGAATACACTTAAGGTGTGACATTCTGTCCATCATTTTATGCTTCAATCTGTATGCAGTAAAAGCACGTGAATGATACCATGCACAATCAGGGAGTGCAGAAAGAGGCCTGACATTTCTTATTTTCATAGATGCAAAATTAGATGCCAACCTGCAAAATAAAAGCATCAGCAGCCTTTATTATGTATTCAATACAGAAAGATATGTACAACACTATTTAAAATTCTGAAATAAAAGAGTATTTGTAAATTTAGACTGACTCTACAGTAAATTGTGGAAAGAGAGATACAACATTTTAGTGAACTTGAACTGCAATTTGCAAGAATTCCACAATTTGGTTAGGTAGACATTGAAATCATGTTGCCCTGCTTCTGCAGTCTGACACCTGCAGCTCTGAGCTCTCTCCGTTGGGTGGAAATGGGTTAATCACAGTCTGTGTTGCTTCCAGTAGGCCCACAGACCCACCAGAACATTTACAAATGCCTGCTTGTGTAGCATCCATACTGATGGCTTTGTCAGCAGCGTCACAGCAGGAATTTATGTGGAGAACAACTGGTGGCTTTAGGAAGCAGGGCTACACTGCACAAACTGGGCACAGTAATCTTCACCCATGTGCCCTTCCTGGTTCATTGGTAGTTGCACTTTAGATCTTGCTGCAGTGAGGTGCTGTAACGACTTCCATGTCTGTTAGTCGTCCTTTGCCATTAATATTAGACCCTTTACAGAGAAGGAATACTAATGTTTTGGCCTCTCCTTCTCACATTTATGATAAGTGGACGAGCAGAGCTATTTTGGCCCAGGTGAAAACTCAATTTTATTATTTTGTTTCTTAGGAACAGCAGAACTCACTGAGACATATCTAACAATGCACTGCTTCCTTAAAAAGACAAAACTCTGCTCACAGAAGTTTTTGTTAAATGAATGTGAAACATGATTAGCCCTTCAGCCCTCCACACCAACAAGAATGTTTCAGTTATTTCACACATGAAATCCTTATCAAAATGACTTTCCTCATAAAAAATGTTAAACAGCTTGAAAATGCTAAGCAGAGGTCTTATTTTTCAGAAACTGAACAAACTTTGTTAAGTACACAGTTAAGCTGTATTTTTCAAACAACCTTAATTCTATTCAAAGCACTGGGAAAATAATCTTAGCCAACTTTATATTAGTAAAACATGCTCATAATCTAAAACCACCATTAATTCTGGTCATTCTTTGGTACAGTGCTAGGAGGACAGAGATAAGATGCCTCATGATTTTGAAGCAGCTTTATTGTTTTATTCACTCAAGAGGGAGAGCAGGAGAGAGAATGAAGGAGTAAAAATGAAAGCACAATACCGAACACTTGAGAATTTCAGAAAGTTATAATATACTTATAGAGTATGGTTTTTTTTATTATTATTATATGACTTAATGTAGACTTCTAGGTTCATCACTCTTTCCTAGGCAGTTTCTTACCTTTCCTCCTTCCCATTCTCTTCATTAGAAACCTGGCTACACTCAGGACATCCTGCACAGACTGCAGAATCTATGCCAGTGTAATGCCTAGCCATTAATTTTCTCCCTTACAGCTATATTCACCAGGATATTTGCATTTGCAAATATGCAAACTGATGCACATACATTATTTACGCACATACTTCCCACAACTATTAAAATACTCACAAATTAGCTGCCTGATTCCTATTTATTCTACATTCTGATACAGTAAAATCAGCTGCTTTCTGGGTAACTGTGAATAGACCACTAACAAATATGGTACGTATGGACAGTAAATTTTTAATGTCTCTGGAAATATTTATAATATTTGCCCAAAATTTTCAGAAAAAAGCCTGTAGGATGAAATTAAGCAAGTGCAATGAGATGTATTGGCTTGCTTTCACCGAGTTTCATGGAGAAGTCCTGGAAAAATTGTGTATGTGATTACATGTATACTTACTTTTGCTTTAAAAGTGGGAGAACACTTTCTATTTTTCTGAAACAGAACGGCTCGGCAAGTTATAATGCTGCTCTAAGTACATGAGATTATTGCCATTGGACTACTAAAAACTAACATAAAGCAGGTACTTAGCATAACTAAGATTTTTTTTTAATGCTACAACAACCACTTGATTACTGGGCACAATGAGCTTAAAATCCAATGAGTCTACCTATTTAACTTGATAGCAAAACTCTTGCAGTGCCTTTATGCTTCGTACAATTCACAGTTAAACACACTTTTTTTTCCATCTTTTAACCCTAAAACTTAAATTTCACATTGAAAACTGCCTTCTGAAGAATGATCAATGACTGGATTGAACAAATTGCCAACAGTTCAGCACTTCTCCAAAGGTATTCACAGAGGAAGCTCTTGGCAAGAAACGCCTCTCTTCAACTAGCTATTTAGAGACAACACCTGTAGCACTTCTTGCTCAGGTCCATCCTGTTGTGGACCTATGGCATGGGAATGCTAATCCATTACCTATCTATCTATTTATCCATCTAGAGAGGTATGATCTAATAGCCTGAAAAAAAAAACAGCTGAAGAGCCAGGAATTTCTGTCTGGTTCTGAAACTCTATCGCTGTATGTATTTGGTCTCCCATCGCCTCAATTTTCCCATGTGTAAGATGGGGACAATATAAAACTGCTTGTACACTGCTTCATGCGTGCATTCTGTGAGATATGCCCAATGCCACACCTGAGAACAGCTGGGATAATATTTTCAATGGAAAGCACTACAGAAATGTAAAAAGTAGAACATTTCCATCTTTTGATCTTATGCCCTCCATTTTCTATTAGCAATAAACTCATAATCAAAGCAATGGATTCAGGAAATTATTTTACAAGGAAAGAGAGACCGAAAAAAAAAAATCTAAATAAGAATGGGGAAAACCTTAGTTGAGCAACCAGGAAGAGTAGTAGTTTTAATTTTAAAAATTTTCGATATTCATGCATCGTTATGGGCATTATGAGTACAAATACCTGCCCTGTGGCTTGTAATAATTATCATTACGGTAGGTAGATGAGCTATCCCTTACTCCTAGCCAAACCCATGGTGGATTGTACCTTGAGAGACAGTAGGAATACAAATTAAAATATTACTGAATTTCACATTGGTATAGAGCCTTTCATTCAAAAGTTATTATCTATTATGCAAACTGACCCTAGTGGAGACCTCTCCAGCAGGGTAGGCCAGAGCGGAAGAGTCTTTTGAAAGACAAGGAGCAAGTTCCCTGTGCCTGCAGAAATACCTGGCAGTGCAGTGATGAAGTCCCGCTGTAACATGGGTTTGAGGTATGAGTTTATATGTCCATGCTGGTAGTGACACATCTGGGAGATGAGGTGCTCCACAAACTCCACCTGGTCAGACTCAGACCACTGTTCAAAATACTTGACGCAGAGTTCCTTCTCCTTCTCATAGCTTGCAGACAGTTTTCTTTGCTTGGGCACAATCATACTGGAAGTGCCATTGGCAAGTTTTGTCTGTAAACAGGAAGGAGAGAAACAACCCAAATCACATATATGAAAAGAAACTCAGGCAGTTTCACAGTATTTCAGGGGGAAGATAACAGAAGGGAAAAAGCAGTCTGATACACAAAGCTGGCCAGGACCACGTATCCCATTTGGTGCTGTCAGCTGGAGCGCAGCCATGGCGAGCCGAGGTCCCTGCAGGACAATGCAGGGGCTCATGCCAGAGCTGCACACAAAGGACTCTGGTTAGATGGGAAACCCCGAGCAGCAGTGTAACATACATGCAATTTTATTTATCATGTACACAGTAAAACATTTGGATTCCTAATCTATATTTGCCAGTTATTTCAAAGCACCAACAGAAAACTGTTATTTGTACTCTGGTTTGGCTTTTTTTTCCCCCCTGAATAATGGATTGCTGCTACAACTCATAGGGAATGCATGAAATGGATGAGAAAAAAATTGAATTACACCTTGAGAGCAAAGCCATCTAAAATACACCCTGCTATTTGGTATATACTTCTTTCATAGAATAAAATATTTTCAGCTTTCTGAGCACTGTTAATATCTTGTCACAAGGAGTCAGCTCAGGGAAGAGTTTCAGGGACAAAACAAAACACAGACGTTTCAATTTACAACTTGATAGCAAGATATAATTCTGCTTTCTAAATGATTTAACTGGAAGAAAAGTGCACATTTTGCATTGCAAGGATATCCTTTGTCCAACTAAGATTAACAGTTTGCTATACTGGTTAAATAGTTTTTATTAAATGCTGAAAACATGATTTTTTCTCTTTCACTGCAACAGTTTAACACCAGACAGCATTATAATAACAGTCAATATTATTACATCATTTTTATTGACAAAATAAATGTGGAGGTTCTTTATTAATTACCAAATAATTAAAAATAAATTGCAGATATCAGAACACATAAAACACCAATGTAGGGATGCTGTTCTATGATGATAATTCCAAGCATCAACCTCACCAGGAGACTTTATTAAATTTAAAGGAAAAATGAGTCCCTAAATCTCTCTGCAAAGATATCCAATGAACTAAATAAAATGCAAGGATTAACTGATTCTACAGGAAAAGAAAAAAAAAACAACAAAAAAGCCTTTTTTCAGTAAGTGCCAAAGCAGCAGGCTATTTAGAGATCACAAAATCTAGCTACTAGTACTGAGTTTGGAATGCAGGAATTTCTCATTTCTCAGGAGTAAATAACTCCTGAACTTCAACACTTCCTAACCCCAACCGCAATTCTGACTTTGGAACACCGAAAAACTCTTAATTTGAAAATCTACTCAACCATATAGATTTCATTTTCAAGAGAAAATGCACCTAAATAGTCTTTCTGACATTTCCAGCAGAGCTGGACAGACCTTCCTCTGGTAGAAAAAGACAGTAATTAGCTGTGATTTTTAACAAGCATTTTTTCCAACTTCTGTATTATGATTTAAGTTTCTTTGAGAACACAGAACATTGTGATCACACCATCAATGCTCAATTCTGCAGTCCAACGTTTTTAATTTTACTTTTATCACTGCTCCTCCCTGCAAATGTGTGGCTTTGACTTTCTGTGTTCAGTAAGATCATGCAAGACAAGGATTATGAGTTACACTTTCATTCAGTCCTCACATAGACAATACTGACTGCAAGCAAGTCGTAGAGCAGCAGGAAAGAAAAACTCTCTCTTGGGCCAACTTTATATACAGAGAAATCACTGAAGGGACTGTGGGCATGAAGTCCTATGAAGGGACTGTGGGCATGAAGTGTGAAAGACTGGACTTTTTCTAGCAAAGTCCACAGTGGGCAACAGCCTGGCAAAACATGATTAATGCTGGAGTGCACTGAACATCTGTATTAAGTGATCTGGTCATTTCTGGCAAAACAGACATCCCTGTAAAATGCTGGACTAAGACACTGGGGAAATGTTGTATCCCAAAAGTTGATCTCATTTAATTTCCTATTTTATTTGCTGTGCACCTCATAACACGGGGTGTCTCTATGAAGCATTTTTTAAAAACTTAATACATCTGTCTTTTAATCTGAGAGACTGTGAAGTCTGACTAATATACTAAGCCTGAGCAGAGAAGGTGCAGTTCCTTTCCTGGGGTGGCACCACGTTCTGGCCTTTCCTTGCCCTCTGAGCTCCCTTCTCCCAGCAGCCTTCAGCTTCCCAGTTACCTCTAAACATTGGTTTGACGTATCAAACAGAAGTGGCAACATCTGCAGAAACAAGTGATGGCTTATGTGTGTACAAATAGATTGATCCCAAGCAAACTCAGGCTTCTTGGATAGTAACTGAAGGAGTACTCATCCAACTACTTGGATGAGTAACTGAAGGAGTCCGTTGACCAACACCTGTAACAGCTCTGGAAGTGAAACTCCAGGTTTATGAAGTAGTTCTGCTGAGAAGAACACATGTTACAGTGTTTATGTCCAAACTAGTGGACATGGGAACTCTGTATGTTTTAGGTTCATAGTTAAGATGCATTATTACAATGAAACTTGAGACTTGCACCCTCGCCTGCTCTGGTTTCTCACCAAAACAAGTGAGGACAAGCTCAGAGGTAGCCATAGTGTGCCCAGCAGGTCCTGTGCAAGCAGGGAATCAAGAGGTCAGGACATGCCATGAACACACTAGTTCTGCAGAACAGAGACTGACAGGTCTCCCAAATCATTCAAACTACAGTTCAGAAAAAAAATTCCAGAATTTCAATTTGAAGATTTCTGAAAATCCACTGGCAGTTCAGTGAAAAAGGCCTGTTAGCAAAAAAAAAAAAAAAAACAAGCATCAACAAAAACAATGACATCAAGCATCTGTATTATTAAATTGTCTACAGCCTCTTCCCTCTCTTGGTACAAAAATCAGGCCTCATCTGAAAAACAAAAACCTGTTCCACATGCCATCCATACTGCTAGGGTAAATATCCATCAAAATGCACTATATATGGTCATGATTTTTATAAGCTTCACTTCCCAATGTGGCAAAGAAGAATAAGCACTGGTAGTCCATCATCTGGGAGGAAATTTGGGTATAGCAGAGCAAACTATTAATTTGGCACAGATTAAGCTTTACTGACTCCCTTTTCACAAAGCCCTGTAGGTGAGGGCTGAGAGGTGCCCCAGCTGGCTCTGGACACCATGACTCATCTGCAGGAACAGTAGAGGTGTCCTCCTACAGCGGTGATCCCGAGCTCATAAGCTGTGCCAGGAAACCTGGGGGATTGAGTGCCTCAGGTTGGTACTAGCTCAGGGATCCACATACTATGCTCCACTGCAGCCCGTAATTACAAGACCATTTCTTCAAATGGCTACATTTAACACAAAGCACATTTGTATGCCCAGTGAAGTAGAAGAGGACTAATATATGAAAAGACTTTAATCTAAATAATGGCTTGCAACTATAGGAAGGTGTAATATTTCAACACAGATACATAAAGACTGGAAAAATCGAGTGTTATGCATATAAAACGAAACAGCTATGGTATATCACAGCTGTAACCCATACTTGACAACCAAGGTTACTTTTGTTTTTGTTCAGTAGAGGGGACCAAGGAGCCTCCTAAAGCACAGAAAAACAAACACCAGCACAGTTCTCTGACTGTAGTATAGCAATAGTGTTTGCCCACCCATATGAGTGGTCACAACTTTTATATATTTAAAAAAACCCACCATCATATCCTCTAATCATAGAAGAGGACTTTGCTCAGGCACTTTCCACAGGGTAGATGAATTTAGGTTGTATGTTTCTTAAGGTAAAAAGACATCCCTTAAAATAAAAAATAATTTAAAAAAAATAAAAAAAAATTAAAAAGAAGCTGTCTCCTAGAATATCAAGAATGGCTTAAATGACCACAGCAAGGTTTGGGATCTTCTGAACCTTCAAGACATTTTCATGTTGAAGCTCTGAAAAGACTGAGATTAGACACTAATGCAAACTTCAGTTTCTCCCCAGACAAAAGGAGGGATCTTTCCTTCCACATTCCAGTACTGAAAGGCCACAGTGGGCTTCTCCCCTCCTTCTGGGACTCACTGGGACTACAGGCTCTGACACAGAGAGATGTCCTCTACTACATCTCTGCAACTGCAGCATTTTACCTCCAACTGCTTGCACCACCCATTGTGGTTAAGTCCCTGATCTAGACAGAGCCACCTTAACAGGAATTTGGATGGGTCTTAGTGAAGGGGAGGAAAAAAGAGGACATAATGTTTAATTATAAGAAATGATTGAAATAGGCACAGACATACCCCGGGTGCCTCTGCACTGCAGCAAGCTCTAAACTTGTTATCGTTAATGGTTTAAATTTCACTGTGCTAATCATTTCAGGACACAAGCCTTTCTTGATAATCTAATGAATTATTCCAACATCCTTCAGCAAAAAAAATCCTCCATGACAGCACTAATTACAAGACGTTTTCCCAGTGCTTATGTAAAATATGACAGAGCAGCAGCTTAGGGAATTGCAGAAAACTGCTTCTAATTTCCACTGAGAAACTGACAAACACCTCTCTTTCATCTCTCCCAGCTCTCAAGTAAGATTTAACTTTCTCATTTAGTTAATTACCGAGTGAGGATCATCATTTTCCCGGATCGGAGCGGCACAGAGCCTTTATCGTGTTAACTTGTGAACTTGATCGATGGCTGCTGCTAAAACTTAATAACTTCACCCCCTGGCAAATTGTAAGATAAATATAATAGGAGAAACTCTGACAGTAAAAACCTGCCAGAAATGAGCGCTGTGTTTATGTTTCTTTGCAGGCAGCAAAAAAACAACCGACAGCTTATTACTGGGTGCGTGTTACTTATATTTAAAAGACTCCAGGCAGTTAACTTTCTGCGTACTGTTCAAACTTTACTCAAAAGATAAAAGACACTGGGGAAAAAACCCAAGCAATGGGATGACAAAGAGAGGAACCATGGAGGTGTATGTATGTCCAGGGGCCGGGGCAAGGGGGGAAAAGACAGAAACTTCACAATGAAAGCAAAGCCACGTTTGTCTCTAT